AAGCAGGCAGATCTGGTTCTCAGGGCAGGTGCATGCAGCTGAAGGAATGTGGGATCTGTTCTCAACATTAGTCAGACATTCTACATCCTTCATTGGCAAGGTCTCCCCTGATCCTGCCTCATGCCTTGCATGACTGCTACCTTGAGTTTTGTCTATGATCATCATGATCCTCTCCTGTACCCCAGCCTCAGGTTTCCTCCTTGCAGGCATCTCTCATTTGCCTTCTCCCTGATTCCTAGTCTTCCATTTTCCTTCACATCCTCTTCCTGAGAGCCACTCAGTTTACCAATGTTTACTGATCATTTTCATCAAGCAATTTAAATTATCTTTTCTGTTTCTAAGCTGTATACTTTTCTTTAAAAGCTTGGTCAATAACTTCCTATTAAGTTTCATTTTAATATGCTGCAGTGTTATTAGCTACTGTCAAAGGGACATCTTGATTCATGACAAGTCCATGCTCTTCAGAACCAGCCCATTGTGAGCCACGAAAATTTTCGTTAGCTGATTTTTTTCAGAAGTAGATTAGTAAGTGTGTCAATCCAGAAGTTCTGCTGAAATCTGTTTAGGATCATACAAACACAAATCGCTCATCCATTTCATAGCGGACTTTTTGCTGTGCCTCCACCCACTTCTGTTTTATTTTAATGGTAAATTAGTGTTATTTTGCACTAGAGCTTCCGCACTGGAATATGTACACAAACAACCTGGTTTAAACTAGATTCTGACTCAACAGGTCCGAGATAAGTCCTGAGATTTTGTATTTCTCCAAAGCTGTTTCATGATGTCAGCACTTTAAGTAGCAAAAATCTTAGAACCTCATTTATTGAAATGAATAGTATGGGCATTCCCTGTAGATAGCATAGATTTTTGCATCTAGACCACTGCAATAAAGAGAAAATTGCAATAGAATCCTGGCACCTCCCAGTGCATAACATAAAAGATATTTTTACACAATACTATGCTTGAAAGAGCAATGATGTTAATTCAAAGACTAAGGAGTGCTTGATCCAAGACATGATGTTTCCAATTGCCATCTGCACATCTAAAAGTTGTACTATGAATAAGGATAACAGAAGAATTGATGCCTTTGAGTTGTGATGTTGACAAAGAGTGTTGACTATATAATGAATTGCTAAAAGAACAAACAGGTCTGTCTTGAAAGAGGTGTAACAAAAGTCCTCCTTAGAGGAAGAGATGGTGAGACTTTGTCTCACTTACTTTGGGAATATTTTCAGGAGGAGCAAATCCCTGGAGAAAGACATCATGTTGGGAAAGGTAGAGTAACAGCACAGGAAAGGGAAACTCTCATCGAAAGGAACTGAAACAGTGACTACTATAATGGGCTTGAGCAAGACTGAGATCATGAGGATGGTACAAGACAGACCAAGGTTTGAATCTGTTATTCACAGAGTCATGAATTGTAGTCAATGCAAAGGCACCTAACAGCAACAACATGTCATAGAGTATGAGATGAGGTCTGCAATAGGATTATGAAAGAATTTGAAATACTGTGAGAAATACTAAATACAATGCACAGAGACATGAAGTGAGGACATGCTGTTGGGAAAATGATTTGTGAAAACAATACAGTATGAGAACTGAGGCACAAATAGAGACTTGCAGACCCATGTTCATAGCAGTGTTATTCATCATTGCAAGCACAGAGAAACAGCCCAAATGTCCAACCACAATCGAATGGATTAGGAAATTACTGTATATTCACAGCACACAGGAGCAATGATTTTGTAAATTACCACCTAACTTGAGAGGAACTAAAGAATATTATGCTAAGTGAATTAACTCAGTCCCATAAGGACAAATATTGTATAAGGCCATTATTGTAGAATGAGCATAAGGATCCAAGGTGGGGAGAGGGGAGCAGATTGGTGAAGATGTTGGGGGTTGTTGTTGTTATTATATGCCATCGAGTCGCTTGCAACTCATAGCAATCCTATGTACAACAGTCCTAAACTGCTCTGTCCTGTGCCAATCGCACTGTCTCTGACACTCCCATCCTGATTACCCCAGTCACTGAATCAATCCACCTCATAGAGGGCCTTCCCCTCCTGAGCT